TACTCGGAAGGAGTTGCTCACCTTCTTCGGCATGATTAATTACTGCCGCCAATGGATCCCTGAATGCTCCCATTATGACTCAATCCTAAGGGAGGCTGTACGTTCTGACAGCCCTGAAAATGTCTGCTGGTCACCAGACATGCTAGCTGCGTATATTGCCCTCAAAGTTGCTATTGTACAAGCCCCGGCTTTAGGACTACCTGTGTATTGTAAACCATTTCATTTGTATGCTCGGGACAACTGTAAAACCATGGCCGCGGTCTGTGCACAAGAGCACGGAGGCGGTATGCGTCCCATAGCATTCTTTTCCAAAGTAGTTCCAGCTCCGGTATAGGGTATGCCGGCGTGTCTCAGAGCATTGGCAGCATGTGCAATGGCTGTTGAGACTGCTACTACTATCACACTAGGGCATCCTACAATACTCCATACCAGTCACCAGGTTACTCAGCTTATAAAAAATCTCACCACACAACACATGACAGCCCAGCGCTTAAGTGGTTATGAGATTATTCTTCTTAATACCCAGAATCTGTCTATTGTTTATAGTCCTGTTAATTCTGGTCCTATGTCTGTTTTGCATGCTATTCTCACTTCTGCATCTGACTCTCTGTCTATACCATCTGAGCCTCATAATTGCATTGAACAAATACATATTGCCACATCTCCCAGAGCAGACCTCTCCTCCACAGCACTCAGTGGCCCGGATGTGACCACTGTCTTTGTGGATGGCTCTTTTTCCAGACCAAGTGATGGTACATACCTCACAGGCTATGCTGTGGTACAGCTACCTGATAAAATCATTGAAGCTGACACTATTTTCCAGCCGTCTGCACAAGCTGCAGAACTCATTGCTCTCACACGTGCCTGTCAGCTTTTCTCAGGACAGCGAGTGAACATTTACACAGACTCATGATATGCTCATGGGGTAGTGCATGATTTTGGTGTGATTTGGAAACAAAGAGGCTTTGTAGGAGCCGATGGAAAAGCCATTTCACACACAAATCTCATCCAATCACTCCTAGATGCTATCCTACTCCCATCTGAAGTAGCTGTTATCCACTGCAAGGCACACACTCTGGGTAGTGACGACATTTCCAGAGGTAATGCCTTGGCTGACAAAGTGGCAAAAGAAGTTGCAGCAAAGACTCTTTACTATGAAATGTTTCCTGCTATGCTCACACCTCCCACATGCCCTACTGACAGTTTGCTTTTGCAGCTCCAAGCCTTTGCAACGCAATCTGACTTTGATTTTTGGATTAAACAAGGTTTAGAAAAAGACCAGAATGATCTTTTTTCTAAAGAGGGGAAGATAGGCATACCTGAAGCCAGCTGTTTTATCTTTATCAGTCAGGCCCATGGTCCTGGCCACAAGAGCATAGCAAGTACCATCCAATTCCTCATGAATTCATTTTATATTAGGAATCTCAGGCAGCATGTACAGTCCTTTGTTAGATTGTGTGAACCATGTATGAGAACACATCCGAATATACCACACAAATCACAGCACGAACATTTGCCCCCTCCAGCTGCTCCTTTTACACACTTACAGATTGATTTTACTCATGTACTCAAAATTGGTAAGAAACAACAATACTTACTGGTCATAGTTGATCAGTTTAGTAGATGGCCTGAGGCCTTTGTGACATCTAGGGAGGATGCTAGGACGGTAGTGAAGATTCTTGCTACTGAAATTATTCCCAGGTATGGCTGCCCTCTGCAGATTAACTCTGATAATGGCCCGGCTTTTGCTAGTAAGGTTACCCAGGAACTTGCTAAATTCTTGCAAGTTACCTGGAAGTTTCATATACCCTATCATCCACAGAGTTCAGGGGTAGTTGAAAGGATGAATAGGACCATTAAGGAGAAGCTTATGAAAGCTACTGCAGGAACATGGGTAAATTGGACAAAATATCTTCCAGCTATTTTAGCTGAGATAAGAATGACTCCTCACAAGGTGACTAAATTATCTCCATTTGAGATTCTGATGGGACGACCTTTTCCCACACCCTGGGCCAGGGAACCGCTTGTTATAATGTCTGGGGATTTACAGCTAATACAAGAACAATATGTACAGGAATTGTTGATAAAACTGAATGGTATATATGGCAATGTTTCTTCGCAGTTTCCTTTACCTTCACAGGAACCTACTCATCCATATCAGCCCGGTGACAAGGTGTATATCCGTCAGCTGAATAGGACCAAGAAAGGAGGATACCCTTTCGGACCACCTGCTACTGTGATTGCTGTAACCAGAACCGCTGTCCACACAGATTCCCATGACATCTGGATTCACGCATCCCGAGTGAAGCTGTGTCCAAAGAGGGGAACCAAGGAAGACAACACCACTCCTCACTCGGAAAGAGAAGAATTTCCCCTTAGCGAAGCATCATGGCTTTCACACCATATCGTAGATTGAGAGGATCATACGAACCTGAGACCAAGATTATGTTGTGCGCTATGCTTTCTGGAGTTGTTATACTCCCTCTGATATTATTCCTTGAATGCCATTATGAGTACAAGTCAATGGGAAGTTTGAAACCTGTTTGTTTCTGGAGAAATGACTCTGACATGATGAACAATTCTTCAATACCCCTAGCCCAATTAGGCCTTAGCCCCTCATCTAGCACTCGTCACACACGCTCCCTCAAGAACCTTTCTCCACTACCTATCTATCAGCATGTAATATGCAAGCACTCATTGACTGAACACATATGGATGAACTGGATAAATAATAACCCTTATAAGTACCAGTTACCCATATGGAATGTGTCCACAGCTAATGAAACCGATGCATTATGTTTGTTTGAAGGTTCACGGAAAATTGTTAGATCTTATAACGCAGAAATGTGCACAGTTAAGGTTTCTAATTACACCAGCATCTGTGCCACCTTATTTAATATAAGTTCTGATGGTAAGAAAAAACCACCTAAACCAGGGGCGTACCTAGAGCATTTGGCACCCGGGGCGGATCCTGTGCTTGGCACCCCCCCCCCCCCCAAAAAAAAACCTGTAAAAAATGTTAAAGGTTTTATTTCTTTTATTTTTACAATTTGTAAACTTTGCAAAACCGCTGTCAGCCCCTCCTACAAAACCCTTGTCCTGCCCTGCCCCTCCTACAAAACCTCTGTCCTGCCCCTTCTACAAATCCTGTACTGCCCCATCTACAAAACCCCCGCAACCCCCTTCCACAAATCCCCTGCTTATCCCCCCTTATAAAGACTCCTGTCCCAATACAAAACCCCCACCCCCTTCTACAAAATCCCTGCAGCCCCACACACACATTTACAGGCAGACAGTCACACACTCAGTTACAGACAGACAGTCACACACTGTTACAGGCAGACAGTCACACACAGTCACAGGCAGACAGTCACACATACACATTTCCTCCGCGACGGCACCCCATCCACTACATATGGGACACTGTGCGGCCACAGCTCACACAGCCCCCAGCCAGGGCTAGTACAAGGATTTTTGCTTCAAGGCAAAAGTGTAAAGTTTGTCATTTCATGTGACATCACAAATGCTCTGTGCCATAAGGGGATTTGCCATGTTAATCTAACGCCAGTGCTGTAGTGCTGCAGTTTACATTAAAAGGCTCAGTAGGGACAGACAATTGTGAACCACTGGCATTAAGCTGAAGTGGTTCTGGGACTATAGTGTTTCTTAATGTGAGGTACCAGAGCTTAGTGCCACGAATAATATACTAGATTGCCTACTTACAAACTAGATGAGGGATGATGATGGGGTTTCAGCTGCAGTCTGGCTCCACTCGGTCTGGTGCAGAACAGGTTTCTTGAGGCGGTTTGTAACTGTGGTCACAAAATCACGTTCTGGGAGAACGTGGAAGCAGCTCCATTTTTGAGGGCCCTTTACACAGCTCAAGGTCTGGGTCCCAGGGTCCACCTTCATGTTCTACCAATGAGTTTGTTCACAGGGGGTGGAGTGTGTAGGGGATGTCCTGATATGTGTGTAAGGAATGCATTGTGTGAAATTGTGTTTGTATGTGTAAGGGCTGCAAGGTGTGTTTCTGTGTATGTATGGGATGCATTGAATGTGTGTAAGGGGTGTATTGAGTGTGTGTAATGAATGCATTGTGTGTTTCTGTGTGTGTAAGGGATGCATTGTGTGTAACGGTTGCATTGCTTGTGTGTTTTTCTGTGTGCAAGGGGTGCATTGTGTGTATGTGATGAATGTCAATCTCTCCTCCCGCTCCAATTTCCTTCTCCTCCTCCCAATTTCTCTCACCCCCCCTCCTTTCTCTCTCACCCACCTTCTTTTTCTCTCTCTCACCCCCCCTTATTTCTCTCTCTCACCCCCCCTTATTTCTCTTCCTCACCCC